CAGCTGGCCTCTGTAGCTCAGTTGGTTAGAGCGCTGCACCGGAATCGCAGGGCCGTAGGTTCAACTCCTACCAGAGGACCTTGTGCTGCATTTTTCGCAGTCGTTCCTGGTTAGGTCTTAAAATGTATATATTCTCACTTGGATTACAAACTCTAACATTCTAATATTAATTCCACCAAGTGAAGTGCAAGAATCCAAATTATTGAAGTCCACCTTATCACAACCCGCACACCCGATTACCTAAATATACATGAACTTATGGTTAAAGCTCAACAGCTGGCCTCTGTAGCTCAGTTGGTTAGAGCGCTGCACCGGATTTGCAGAGCCGTAGGTTCAATTCCTACCAGAGGACCTTGTGCTGCATTTTTCGCAGTCATTCCTGGTTAGGTCTTAAAATGTATATATTCTCACTTGGATTACAAACCCTAACATTCTAATATTAATTCCACCAAGTGAAGTGCAAGAATCGAAATTATTGAAGTCCACCTTATCACAACCCGCACACCCGATTACCTAAATATACATGAACTTACGTTTAAAGCTCAACAGCTGGCCTCTGTAGCTCAGTTGGTTACAGCGCTGTACCGGAATCGGGGGACCGTAGGTTCAATTCCTACCACAGGACCTTGTGCTGCATTTTTCGCAGTCGTAACAAAATCCTGGTTAGGTCTTAAAATGTATATATTCTCACTTGGATTGCAAACCCTAACATTCTAATATTAATTCCACCAAGTGAAGTGCAAGAATCCAAATTATTGAAGTCCACCTTATCACAACCTGCACACCTGATTACCTAAATATACATGAACTTATGGTTAAAGCTCAACAGCCGGCCTCTGTAGCTCAGTTGGTTAGAGCGCTGCACCGGAATCGCAGGGCCGTAGGTTCAATTCCTACCAGAGGACCTTGTGCTGCATTTTTCACAGTCGTTCCTGGTTAGGTCTTAAAATGTATATAATTCTCACTTGGATTACAAACCCTAACATTCTAACATTTGAAATTAAGGATTTGGAGATTTTGCGATCACTGATAACTTGATAATAATATAAAACAAAACACTTCTATCTGCAACTTTTACTATCACTGATAACTTGATAATAATAAACCAGTCAAGTTGTAGTTTAAATAGAGAATAATACATGCATGCATGGGTGCACAAAATACCAGATTTATTTCGAGTGTTGAACATGAGTGCGGAGCGAACAAGTGCGCGCATCGAACGAGTGAGATGTCATGTTCAACACAAAAAATAAATCTGGTATTTCCAACCACCCATGTATTTTTCTGTTTATTATATAAAGGACAGTCTTTGAAAAGCGATAATTTTTACAGAAAAGCGATAATTGAAAAGGCGATAATTTTCACATGTTAGATTATCATGAATAATTTCACATGTGAGATTATCATTTTTATCAGTGCTCGAAATCTCTTTAAAATACTCATTAATAATTCATAAACCTTGTGGCAAATCATGTCAGCCATAATATGTCATGTGGAGTGACTTTATATCTGATAAAACACATGTGGCATTATATAATTGTTCATCTTAATTAGCATGATTATACTATGGTTCATCCTAATTAGTATTCTTTTGTAGTCGTATTTTAAGCTATTCAAAACATTCGTTGTCGTGTTTTATCAGATATATAACGCTCGGCTGCGCCTCGCGTTATATATCTGATAAAACACTCCTACTCGTGTTTTAAATAGTACATATATATATAAAACAGCACAATATATATATATATATATATATATATATATATATATATATATATATATATATATATATATATATATATATATATATATATATATATATATATACGACGCGTAGCGGAGTGTTTTATATGTGATAAAACACGACTACAAGTGCTTTAAATAGCTTGAAAAACGACTCATCTTATACGAGTTCATCGGCGAAGTAATTCTTAAAATAGACTTTGTCTGAACCGAGAAAATCAAACGTGATTTTTTTTCACATATAAAACCACGACACGCTTATGATTTTTCTTTGTGTTTTGCTCCTGAATTATTAATGAGTTTTAAAAAATATATATATATATATATATATACCGGGTGGGGCAAAAAAAAGTACGACTGTTTGATTTACTATGACTCAAAAACTAAAAGAGCTATTACACTTAAATAAATCACCCTATATTCCGCGATGTTTAACTTAGATTTTGATATATGTCTGGTGCATTTTCATGCGATTATGACTGAGATAATTAGCAAAAGTAGCTCATTTTCAAACCGCGATAACTCTTCGGTTTTATGGAGTAAATTCATGTTTTAAAGTATCAATATAAAGAGTAAACATTCCTGAATTCACTGCTGTAATTTTATTTTAGTTTCCTTGTAAAAAAGTACAATTTACTCCAGAATATTTCAATGCCACTTTTCCAACACCCAAAACATGCATAAATACAATCGGAATTTAACATAAGTAAAATGCGATATATATACAAAATTATTCAAAACTTCTTTTATTAAATAACTAAACAAAAAGGTTATCGAAACATACCTTTGAGAAAACGAGATCTTCATGGCAAAAATCGCAATATATTTCAACAGTTTTTAATCGAACAGCGCATTGAGAATAAATAGCTTGAATAATAATGAGCCGCACTGATTCGCGCGTTGCATTTCGGGAAGACCCTCATTCCTCCTCTGAAGTGAGATTATGATAGTGAAAGTCACATTATATCAGTTTACCAGTAAACAGACCAATCAAAAGCAATTTTTCATACCAGAAAAAACATGGAGGTCAGATTTTCCCTTTCATATTGAAGTATTCTTCATGTGTACTTTGTGTTTTCACCCATACCAAAAACATGGTAATTGGGTGAAGTTGTGGAACATATGTATTATGGGCCCATGTCTAGCTTGGCTTAAAGTGGGAAACCCATACCTACAAGTATTAGTATTGAATTCATTGTAGTAAATGCAGTACTATTTTCTTTTGAAGTTTTGAAGAGGCTGAAGGAGATGTGACATTAACTGCTTTGGAGGGTGAAGATGAACAAGCAGAGCTTGATCATACTAAGGGACAGGAAGATATGGATGTGAGCTATTTTGAAGAATGGGATAGAACTAACATAGAGGTACAGCATGGTCCAGAGAGAAGGGATGATTGGGCACAGAGATTATTAAAACAGCTGAAAGAAGAATTTGATAAAATGAATGTTGCAGGAAAACAGAGCCAGATTTTTGCAGACCATGGTCAACAGAGTCGATCAGTTGTTGAGGTAGATAAATTGTTGGAATTATTTAAAAACAATTGCCAAATGCATCTATGTACTGGACAAAGTAGAGTTGAAAATTGGAAAGCTGATGGGGGTGTTTTAATAATCACACGGAGATGCTGTCATGGTCATGGTTGGGGTCTGGTCGTCATCAAAGGTTTTATGCGTAAAGAAGGAACAGAATGTGCACACCACTACCATAATGATAGCTGCAGCAATTATTATAACAGGTGGCAATTATGAAAAGTTTGCACTATTTTGCAAATTTCTTGGTCTGTCATTCATCTCAAGGTCAACTTTTATGAGAATCCAAAAGAAGTATGTGATTCCTGAGATCAAGAGATTTTGGAAAGACATGAAGGCATCGATATGGAAAATCTTTTTTGGGGAAAGCATCATTCTTTGCGGTGATGGCCGAAATGATTCACCAGGTTTCAGTGCTAAGTGTTGGCTTAAGTATTTAAGTATTTCAGTGCTAAGTACTGGCTCTTATAAATGGGTTAATTAATTAAATATATTTTATGGATTTTTTAGATAAGTATCCTAATGAATTTGGTAACCTGTTTCATGCACTTGAAATTTGGCACAATCTGTAAAGTTAACAAAGAAGCTGTCAAAGGTGATATTTAACTTCACTCCCTTATACAATATACTGTACGATATTGTGTCATTTAGGAATATACAGTAATCATTAAATTAAATAAAACATAATCCCTTTAAGTGGTGAAAATGGGGGAGAGGATTATTTTAGACAAAAAAAAGTTTAACTAAAATTTCTAGCTACAAACATTGGTCAAATGCGGACACCCTAAAATCCTCTCGAGTGTCTGCCAAAGTACATCATCTTTGCTATAGAGTCATATTTTCCTAATTGAGATGTTCGGTTTGAATATTTTTGGTTTTAGGCTGCAAAAATTAAGGGTTGTGAGGTACTAAGCGAGTGGACCAAGCCAATACGAAACCACTTCTGGTATGTTGCACAAGAAAGTAAGGGCAACACAGATAAATTAAAGGTGAGGAAAGTACTAACTTTCACGTTAGAATGTTACCCTTATATATTATAGTTAATAATCAGGGTTTGAATTAACGGTGTGCAATTTGCACATCGTTCTGGAAGCGGGAGTTGACTCATTATTTAATAGAAGACAAATCCTAACTACTAAACTATTTAATGATATTGCAAATGACGAAAGTCATAAGCTTTACCAATTACTACCAAGTAAGAACTGTTCAAATTATAATATAAGGAAAGAGAACATTTTTAACGTTTCTATTAGTAGGACGAATAGAT